GCTCCTAGAGGTTGCTGCACTGGTGGCTGCTGATATTGCCCACCGTTCGGTTGTTGACTAGAGATAGTCACATCGCTTCCCACAGCCGAAAGTATGTCGATCTAGTCTGATCAACTGGTGCACCAAAGAAGACTAACTTCATAACATTGCCATCCATATTGACAAGCATCTAATTGTGATTTGTAATGACTTCATTGATAGTCTTGTGGATCATTTGGGCAGCAAGTCTAGCTTCAGCTTCTCCATCTGGATCGCTCTGTCCATGCAGGAGAACCCTTGGCAGCGGGATCTTTTGAACAATGGATTCCTGCGTCCTATTGTAAGAGCAACAGGCACTTCTCTTTGAATTCTTCTATTGCCTGCTCAATGAGCTCCTTCTGGTCATTAGGCAAGTCCTCAAGGTTGATCTTGAGAATGGCATTGTTGTTTTCCACGTTGATGACTACGGTTGACTTTTGATCAAACAATTGTTGTCCCACTAGGCGTACCAGACCTATGTCGACACCAAAAATCCGACGACGGGAACATAGTGATCAACATCGGCGAGAGGCCCTACGTGGAGCAAATCCTGAGCTTCTCTCTGAACTTTGGAAGGGCATCACCAGGCCAGACGGTCGTGACCTTGGGGGCATGCTAGTCAATTTGATCTGCAATTGAAAAGGGAGCAAGATTGATCAGTAACTTAAGGTGGACCTCGGGATGTAAACAATGTAGTGCGATGAGATGACGATTCAAAAAGGAATATAAAGCTGATGTATCTCAATCTTAATCGGGCAGGGGATTCGTATCAAAATTCGTACGAGATAAAACTTAACCGAGGGCAGCCATGTGGATTTAGATAAGAATCAAGGATAACTATAAGTAATTGCAAGAGATCAGACTTAACTGAGGGCAGCCTTACAATCAACTAACGATAACTAACTTATACAAAGCTTGCAAGAGGTTACACCTAACCGATGCAGCCTTACAAACAAGGTATAAGTCATGACGGATACTCACAGACAACTAGAGGTCGAACCTAACCGATGCAGCCCTGCTCACTGAAGAACTTGTCAAAATCTACTCTACTCCAACTCCTAAGGGGTGGCGTGAGCCAAAAAAGTAAAGGTACTGATTTGTGTTGATCTTTGGAGATATTCATTACAATGGCCGGGGTTCAATATTTATACCCAAGGACTGACTACGAGTCTAGGTCGAATAAGACTGGTTACAAACTTGAAAAAGAAAAACTCCCTAATTTATGATGACTTGGACTCCAATCTTTCCCTTTTGTGGAGTCCGACGTGTCTTCTTGCTTTGTGCCTTGCCGATCCTGCCAATAAGGTCCATTCCCTTGATGTCGCCATTTCTCTAGCTAAACTGGCAACCTATTTAGCCATGTTGATTGGAGGACTCGGCTTCCCTTGATAAGTTCTTGTCTTCAGGGATTTCCTATCTCGAACCAAATTTCTGTGTCAACAGGGGAAACGTGTGTGTGTTGTCTAATTACTAGTTTGTCCAGGGATAGCAAACAAGGTTTAAAGTATGAGTAGAGAAGATTCTTATGGTTTTGACCCTATCCAAAGCAAGGCTTATGATTCTAGTGTTCACTTTGGGATGCCGCTAGATGGTAAAGCACCACTAAAAGATAACTCTGACGACGCAACTATGATCCTACTAATTTAAGAACCTGCTCAACACGGGATGGACTACAGAGGATAAATGGGGCTGTCACCACCCACTACTACCACGCGACCATGGAGCAGGGAGCAAACTCAGGTAACCAAAACCCCAAGCACCACACTTATGTTATCGATCACTACTCTAATCCAGAGGCCTAGCAAGGATTAAAGCACTCAAAGAACTCAGAACCCGAAAACAAGAGAACACAATACTTACTTTAAATAGAAATCAATTACCAGAAGTATCTCAGATGCAGACTTGGAGAAGCCCAGATCCACCAAAGTACAAGCGTAGAGGTAGCACCAACAGGCTAGTACTTCCTCCAAACTCTTCACTCAATCTCTAACTCACTATTTTCTATGTACATTAAGAGTAGAGCCTACTAGAGGACTAGTCTCTTTCAAATGCGATGGCCTTCTGGAGGGGGTCTGGGGGTCCTTTTATAGGGGGCACCAGGAGTCCTATGGTCCCATGAATTCATGGCAACGTCAAATCTAGACTCTCGAATAGAACCGACTTTGATCCATGGCAGAGATTGAATCTTAGAGGCAGTGGGAAACCGACGTATGAAGGAGGGGGTGACATGTGGGCCCCATAGGCCGGCCGGTCTATAGGTGGGGCCGACCGGCCTCCCCCAATGGCAGGTGGCCCTCCCCCTCTGGTGGCGGGGCCTAGACTCCGTCTTGAGAGTTGACTTTCCCATATTTCGCATGTCAAATCACTTATTGATGTCTGTTTTCTTGTTTGGAATGTATGACGGTGGTCCCGGGACTATTTTCTGGATAAATCCTCCTACATTCATAAATTCACCAAAACTTGTGGAATTCATTAGTTTAAACCCCTATACCTATATTTGGTGATGGAATTAGGTATATATGTAGGATATGTTGACGATTTATGATTGATATTAACGACCATCAACACCAATTTCTCGGACGAGCCATTGGATGTGAATAATACAAGATGGTGTTCAGATATGCAGAACAATTATTGTCACCTATACATAACCCTTAAAGCCATTGCATACAACATGATTTAGATATATATTTGTGAGCCGTGACTTGTAAACGATCATTTAGGAATGTAAGGTCAATAGGAATTCCACATATCTATTTTAGTGATATACTATCAACATATCTATAGGAACTTAAAGATATATTAATTTGTATTAACTTTTAGGCCATGTGATGCGGAAGTACCAAGCCATATAATCATTTAGCGGTACCTATATCAAACATTTGCAAATATCAAAGTAATGGATTGTATCTTTTCAGATCTTGCTAAGGACACGACGGATGCCGCATTGCACAGGACAGCTGACGAACCGCTATCGAGGCTACAGTGCCGCCATGGCCGGCATAGTAGCGCCATGTCACATCCTGCCACAACGTGGCAGAGGGCCATGACGATAGCCACGACTGGACATACACCAGAAGATAGCATAGCTTGCAAGCCAAGTTAGTTAGGCCCTCCCTCAGGCTCTCGTTCCTTCGGTCGGGAGAACCTCCTCTTTGTATAAGCCCTGGCCCTGAACTCTATATAAGGGCAACCAAGGCACTTTTTCCAGACATTCTGAATCCTCTACCATTCTATTCATTCACCATTGTAGTAGGGCTCCTGGAGCTTCTCTTCAGGCAGTACTTCGCCTAGCATAGGTCCTTTCACCTCTTCCTCCATTCTTGCACCCCTCATTGTAAGAACTTCAAAGCATTCAAGCGAAGAACACGCACTCGATCATCTCTAAGACTAGACGTAGGGTTCCGGCCTGAACCAGTATAAATCCTCATGTCTGTTGGATGCTACCATTATCTTCCTACAGCAGCGCGACAATTGTGTAAGTTTACTTGTCTAGTTTACAAAAACACCGACACTATCATAATATATAATTCATATATTGTCAAACTGTATGGATTGTAAAAAATGGTTGGTCAAAGATTGCAATGTTTGACTTAGGACAAACCAAATGTGACACTTAAAAAATGGAGGGTGTATGTAATTAGTATTAGATAGATATACATTGTCAAAGTTTTGACCATTCAGTGAAAGAGAGCCTGAGTGGAAAACTCAATAGTATTCCCCACTAAATGTCCCCACTTGATGTTGTATCTCTTCATGTAAGGTGTCCACATTATTCTTCACTAAGTCCATGTCATCCCTTATTAATTACAAAAAAATATCCACATCATCTCTATCACGTGCAATATTTTTAATCTTTAATCTAGTAACATACTGGTCATCTACTTATGCTATTTGTTTCATCACCTTTTTCTCTACAATATAATTAAATATTCTATTGATTTTTTTTCTATTAGTTTATCGGATCTGATACAACAAAATAACACGCAAGTCAAATTCTCATATATACACAATATATAGAATATCATATAGTATATATAATAGATTTATTTTTAAGAAAATTCCGCAGCAACACGCGGAGTATGCTTCTAGTTTATTTTGATCGGGAAACCATTAGTCATGTACACAGTATAAGACGCCATTTTGATCGGGCACAATATCATCAAATCCATTGCAACAAGTGGCCGTACATGACACCACTTGTAGTCTGTAAACTTAAATGGCACACGTGTCACTATCCTAGCTACCTAAGTCGGCCCATATATGTAATTAGTATTAGATAGATATATATACGGCATTGTCAAAGTGTTGACCATTTAGTGAAAGAGATCCTGAGTGGAAAACTCAATAGAACAAGACAACTTGAACAAGCAACAACTAACCTTAACAAGTGGACTAGTTTTCATTAAGAAAAAAACAAGTAGACTGGTACTTTCAAACGGATTTGGACAAAAGGTATGTTTCCTCCATGTTGTTATTATCTGACGACGTATAATTGTTGAAGTTTTTAGTAAAAGTTCAATTTCCACCGATAGTTTCTTGTTAATTTTTCGTCATTTATATGTGATGTAAGAAAGTATAATCATAGTTAGTATTTTTCAAAACAAATATGAAATGGCACATGGACGCTAATTTAATTTATGTCAAAAAGAAATTATATGAATTGAATAACTATTGGTCAAAGTTTATTTGCAATTCCATACGGGCTAGCACCCATCTTAAACAAAATTCGATTAGGTAGATCGTTATATAGGATACAAATGTTACGTGATCCTCGAATTCGAATATAAATAAATCGAATATACAAAACTCAACCGCATCACTCCAATCTCCCACGTTCGTTCGTGCAAACCACTAGCACTGGAAGTCTCCATCTCCAGCTTGGACTACCTCCGGCACACACAGCCGCTTGCATGTACATTAAATGCAGCTCGGTCGTCCTCGTCGGCCATGTGCGCACGGTACAGAGCTGATCGACGAAGATGAGGATGAGTGGCGGCGCTGCAGGCAGCTTCGTGCCAAAACCGGTGGAAGATCCGGAGGCGGTGCCGGTGGTGGAGGCGCCGTGGCCGGTGAGGGAGAAGAAGGTGTGTATGTGTCACCGGGCTTTCCTCGCCGCCGGCAGCCTGATGACGCTGCTGCTCCTGGCGTGCTTCGTCCTCGGCCGGGATAGCGCGTCGTCAGTGGCCTGGCTGCAGATCGACGTCGCCAAGCTCACAGGCATGAACAATGGAACAGCAGGTAAGTACGGTCCTCCCTCGTATGCATGTGAGCACTGTTGCATATCGACAAAACTAAGCTATGTCACCTGCCTCCAGGGCTTACGACGAACGCTCCTCATGGTCGTGACGACCTCCTCGGCGGGCTTCTGCCGGCGGGCATGGACCGGCGGTCGTGCCGGAGCTGGTACGAGTCGTGGCGGTACTACAAGTACTTCCCGTACGCGGCGTCGCCGTACCTCCAGCGCAAGCTGCGCGCCTACGAAGCTCGGCACCGGCGGTGCGCCCCCGGCACGCCGCTCTACGCCAAGTCCTTGGAGCAGCTCCGGTCCGGCCGCAGTGCCGACGGCATGGAGTGCACCTACGTCGTGTGGCTCCCCTTCGACGGCCTCGGCAACCGCATGCTGTCCATGGTGAGCGGCTTCCTCTACGCGCTGCTCACCGAACGCATCTTCCTCGCCGCCTTGCCGCCGGACTCGGCTGACCTCTTCTGCGAGCCGTTCCCGGGCACGACGTGGCGGCTCCCGGTGGACCACGACTTCCCCATCAAAGACCTGGTCCCACAGGGGCAGCACATCGACAAGTCGTACACGAGGCTCCTCGACGCCAAGGTGGTCGGCCCGGACGCGAACGCGACGGCGGGCGTGCCGGCGTACGTGTACCTGAGTATGGGGTGGCAGCTCAAGGACCCGCTCTTCTTCTGCGGTGAGCACCAGCTCGTGCTTGCCAAGGTCAACTGGCTGCTGCTGTACAGCGACCTCTACTTCGCGCAGTCGCTGTACGCGGTGGCCGAGTTCCAGGACGAGCTCCGGCGACTGTTCCCGGCAAAGGAGAGCGTGAGCCACCTCCTGTCCCGGTACCTCTTCCACCCGACCAACCCCGTGTGGAGTCTGACCACCAGGTACTACCGAACGTACCTGGCTTCGGCGAAGCGGAGGATCGGTGTGCAGATCAGGATGTTCAGCTACGGCTCCATCCCCGCCGACGACATGTACGCCCAAATCCTCTCGTGCTCGCGACAGGAGCACATACTGCCCGAGACCGACGGCGGCGGCGGCGGTGCTAGTGACAATGGCGTGCTGGCAACGAGGAGCGACGACAATGGCGATGGCTCCAACTCCACGGCCATCTTGGTGGCGTCTCTGTACGCGGACTACTACGAGAGGTTGAGGTCGAGGTACTATGAGCACGCGGCGAAGGGCGGCGAGACGGTGGCCGTGTTCCAGCCGTCGCACGAGGAGCGGCAGGCGACAGACAACTTGGCGCACAACCAGAGAGCGCTCGCGGAGATCTACTTGCTCAGCTTCTCTGAGGAGCTTCTCATATCGGGGAGGTCCACGTTCGGGTACGTCAGCAGCAACCTCGCCGGCGTTCGGCCGACGATCTTGCTCACCGCGTATGGCCACAAGGTTCCCGAGCCGCCGTGCCGGCGGGCCGTGTCCATGGAGCCGTGCAACCTCACGCCGCCCCTGGGTGTGGAGTGCCGGGGCAAGCCTGTAGACAAGGAGGACCTGGCACGCCACCTCAGAGTCTGCGAGGATTCCAATGACTCAGTTAAGTTTTTTGACTAACCAATCCGATACTAACTTCATTTCGTTAAACATTTATTAATTTATTGTTAACGCGCACCTCTAAAATTATTCTTAGTCGTTGTAAGAATCCATGTATGATACCAGAAAAAAGGTGAACTACCTAGGTGTTCTAAAACTAATATAATCGATCAGCCTCGTCTAGGAACGATGGATACGATATCCAATTCCAATACATATCGAATCGCGTCCTACGTATCTTATATGACCTGCGTTGATACAAATTATAACGATGATACATGGTCCAATTCCTATAGGTATTACGTTCCGTTGCAACATACAGGTATAGTTACTTCTATATTAAAGAGCCAAAATGTCTTCACTATATTTTGGTTTTGGCTTCTCTCTAACTACTCAGTAGTTTTTATTTGGTCGGGCCCTCTCTTTAACTACTCTGTGGCATCACTCTCTTCTATCTATTGTCCCTCATACACCATTTTCGGTTTGAGTCACTCTCCTCCGTCTGCAAATTTCTTCCCCATTTTTTGTCTGCAAAATCTTTGTTAGGAAAACTTGTAGACTATAGTAGTGGCCACAAGTGCACAACTACAACGTTGAAGGTGGACAAACTAACTCACTACGCCAGATTTGCACATCATTGCCGGTATCATCACTGCCGGATTTGTGAGAACCGGTAGTGATGTACCTTCACTGCCGGTTATGAGCTTGAAAATAAAAAAATGATTGGTGCTGGGCTAAAACCGGTAGTGAAGGACCACATCACTGTCGGTTCATGGCTTGAACCTGCAGTGTTTTGGTGGGCACTCATCACTGCCGGTTTAAGCCAAGAGCAGACAGTGATTGGGCACTATCTCTGTCGGTTCTAGCCAAAAACCGACGGTGATAAGCCTACAACATAAAAAGGCTGTAGCCGTCCTCTCTTTCCTCCTCTCTTCCATCAGAAGAACAGAGGCACGCGTTTGGACCCTTCCCTCCATTGTTGCGGCTGCTCTTCACCATGAAGCTAGTGCTTGGATTTTAAAGAATGGCTTTATCTTTTTGCTTTAAGGTTAGTAACAAACATCCACTCCTTTGATTTTGTTGCTTAATTAGCTTCGTTTTGATGGCTACATTGCTTGATTCTCATTCTAGTTCTTTCTCCATTCTAGAGAGCACTTTTCCAATTGGACATTTGTGCAAGGCTCAAATTGTGGTGAATCCATCATCCAAAAGGTTGGTGTCTATAAACACATTTAAATTCCTAGCTAATTATTCCATAGTGGTCAAGATCATCATTGTTAGTATGTGATGCTATAATTAGTTCTTATAAGTAGAGTAGAATAGTTGTTCTTCAATATTGTGCAATAATTGTTTTTTACTATGATTTTCAATTTATAGGGCCGGGGCTACCAATTTCAATTTTTCAATAATTAGTGTACAATAATGTTTTCCAAAAATGGTACTTTCGAGCTACAATTGTTGTTCATGAAGCTCAATTTCTTATTAATTCTTTGTAATTACTGTCTTAGTATTTTTTTTGTGCAGAGATGGATCGAGAGTGGATGCATCTGTCCCGAACGGACAAGCGGTACATGCATGGCGTCAGCCAGTTTATCACCGATGTCAAAGCCCATACTGGGAATGGGAACCCTGTCTTCTGCCCATGCAAAGATTGCAAGAATCATAGGAACTTTCGTTAAATTGAGTCTATACGATCGCACTTGATTATCAGGGGGTTCATGCCAAACTATACGATATGGACTATGCATGGCGAGGTTGGTGTGAATGTTCTGCAGGAAAACGATGATGATGTGGACATGCCTGACGTAGCCATCCACGATGTTGACGAGGAACCCGGTGTCAACACAGAACCTATGGCCACCGTTAATAATGTGTTTAGGAACACGCTAGCTAATGACACCGAGGATAACGATGGCATTTCTCAGCTGCTACGTAATGTAGAGACCGGATGTCTTATTGAAAGACAGTTGAGAAAGCTAGAGAAAATACGACAAGATGGCAAAACACCATTGTATAGGAATTGTCCAATGAGCAAACTGGAAGATGACATCATGCTATTAGAGTTCAAATCGACAAACGGATTGAGCGATAAATGCTTCGATCAGTTGTTAGGTATAATAAGGAAAATGCTCCCAGAAAAAAATGAGTTGCCAGAAAAGACATACTTGGCCAAGCAAATGATCTGCCCCGTCGGCCTCGAGGTTGAAAAAATCCACGCGTGTTCCAATGATTGCATATTGTACCGTGGAGAAAAATACAAAGACTTGGACAAGTGCCCCAAGTGTGAAGCTCCACGGTATAAGGAAGGGCCGTCAGATGAGGGTACCAAGATCAGAGGTCCCGTAAAGGTTGTTTGGTATTTCGCTATAGCTCCTCGGGTGCATAGGCTGTTTGCATGTGCAAAGTCAGCCAAGCTATTGCGCTGGCATGGCGAAGAGCGTAAGAAAGATACAATGATGAGGCACCCCGCCGATGGGCATGACTGAAAGACTGTCAATACTATGTTCTATAAGGACATTGGTGGAGAGGTAAGGCACCTTTGGTTTGCTTTGAGCACAAATGGGATGAATCCTTTCGACCAGGTTAGAAGCAATCAAAGCACCTGGGCAGTGACGCTCTATATATACAACATTCCACCTTGGGTCTATATGAAGCGGTCATACATCCAGATGCCACTACTGATCCAAGGGCCAAGACAGCCTAGGAATGACATCGATGTGTTTCTAGAATCAGTGATCGATGAACTAGTGGAGATATTTGAAAAGGGTGTGCCGGATGTTTGGGACGAGTATAAAAAGGAACATGTCACGATCAAGGGAGTACTTATCGCTACAATCACCGACCTGCTAGGTCGAGGTTCGTTGTCCGGAGAGAAGACAAAAGGTTATACTGGATGTGTCGAGTGCTTGGACGACACCGATGCGGTAAATCTGCCAAATAACTCAAAGATAGTTTATATGGGACACCGTAGGTTCCTACCTAAGGATCACCCTTACCGTAGGAACAGAAAAGATTTCAACGGTGCTATTGAGAAACGCTTAGCTCCAAAATATCGAGACGGGCCTGCAATACTTCGAGAACTCAACAAACTGGAGGTTGTCCTTGGGAAGGGGGACAATGCAGGAGTAGCGCCTGATGGGAGCCTTTGGAAGAAAAAAATCGGTTTTCTGAAAACTACCTTACTAGCATTTCTGAGTGTACGCCACTGTCTTGATCCCATGCACATCACTAAAAACATGTGCACTAACACTCTTAACACCTTGATGGACACCGGGGGGACATCGAAGGATTCACTAGCCACACGCTTGGACATGCAACACTTGGGAATCAGGGAGGAGCTGCATCCTGTGGAGCTAGAGAATGGCCAGCTCGAACTTCCAGTTGCGTCATGGACATTGAAGAAGGAAGAAAAGCATGCGCTTATTTCTTTCTTCAATGAACTCAAAGTCCCGACGGGCTACTATGCGAACCCGAAGAGGCTAGTAAACATGAGAGAACTCAAGTTCAATTATGGCCCTATGAAGACCCATGACTGTCATGTCATTACGACTCAGCTGCTCCTTGTTGCCCTGCGTGGTATCCTCCCCCTAAAGGTCCGCGCCCCAATCATAAAGCTTTGCTCGTTCTTCAACGCGATCTCAAAAAAGGTAATTTTTGTGTCCACGCTAGAGCAGCAGCAGCGGGACATAGCCGAAACTCTCGTTAGGCTTGAGATGCATTTCTCGCCGACTTACTTTGATATCTCATTGCATCTGCTTATTCATCTTGTTGACCAAATTAGAACCCTTGGCCCAATGTACCTGCATCAGATGTTTCCTTTCGAAAGATTGATGAAAGTTTTTCAGGAGGTATGTTAGGAACAGATTCAGGCCAGAAGGGGGCATGGTTGAAGGATGGTCAACGGAGGAGGCTATTGATTTCTGCACATATTATCTGGACATCAAAAGGGTCGGAGTTCCAGAATCTCGTCATGAGGGAAGACTACGTGGTAAAGGAACGATTGGGGAGAAATCTGTTATAGTAGATGACCCTGTTTCTTTCAGACAGGCACAGTTCATTGTTCTCTAGCAAGCCGAGGGTGTGATGCCATACATTGATGAGCATAGGCAATCGCTGCAAACTCTGTATCCGAGCAGGTCATAGGCTTGGCTAGATAAAAAACATAAGGAGGAATTTGTCAGCTGGTTACGACGTCGCTTGCTTGGAATAAAGTTAGGTAATCAACTGGATGCCTTAGCCAAGGGGCCTTGGAGTACATATCTTAAGTACCAAGGGTATGAGATCAATGGATTCACATTTTACACAAAAAAGCAAGATGGAAAGAGCACATATCAAAATTGTGGTGTTTGTTTTGATGCTCACGACGAGAACGGCAACGTGCAGGCGACATACTATGGTTTCATAGAGGAGATATGGGGGCTAGCCTACGGTCCGTTGAAGGCAGCTCTTTTTCGCTGCCAGTGGGTCCGGCTCGAGGAAATCAACACTAACAGCGAAGGGTTCACTACCGTTGATCTCACTAAGACTGTAAGAGATGTTATGCAAGGGACAACAAGACAAAAGGAAGGCTAAAAGTAGTCCTAGAACGGAAAAGGAAGATTGTTGGTGTCGATGGAGTGACGGACGAAGATGACTACAGGGGCTATTAGGAAATGCATCCATTCAGGGCGAACGTACCCCTACCTATCCTTCAAGATGGTGACGAACCTGCTTACGTACGAATTGATCACAATGAGGCCCTCATTGTTGATGCACCTAAAGATAGCTAGATTATTGTTAACTATGTAATCATTATGCAGACGTTGTATCAGTAATTCGCACTGAATATTTAATTTATATTTTGTGCGCATCTCTACAATTTAATTATTGACTATGTAATCAAATATTAAGATGATGTTCACAAACACTATTATTTGATAATTATAGACCATTAATTAATTATCATAGAATTAAATAATCAAGACACAAATTTTTGTCTTATTTTAGAATATAAACTAACTGCATTATTTCTATTAATAAAT